ACTACAATAAAAACACAGAGTCCAAAGATTTTAAAAACAACTCTGTATAAACTCTGTATAAACTAAAACATAAGAAACTCTTTACTCTACATTTTCTATATTTAACAGTGTTTAAACAGACCGTGGCAGGGATGAGGGGAGAGAACAATGACAAAGTCTCTCAATCAGAATTTTGCTTTTAAGAGTTAAAGGGTACAAAATCCAATAAAACAAAGTACAGTTGAATATTGACAAATTCATAAACGTTATCAGAGCAATATGTATGTATGTAAACATGTATGCATGTATTTATGTATTTAAATATATAAATGTATGTATGTATGTATGTTAAAAACCCAACCCAGAGATCATACAGGTATGAACAGGGTGAAGGAATCAGTTGAGGGTGTGGTCACCTCCACCAACAGACAGGCGGTGGTGTTGTGTAATTCATTCTGAATGAGCACAACATTACACGCCGTGACTTCAACCGCATAATGGGGGGTAAAATTACACCTGTTGCTTTCAAACTGCCATTTTAGTTGAGCTACACACACTCGACACAATGACGTTTTTATAAAGTGGCGAGACAGTTGTAGTGAAACACACACGCACATACACGAAGATACACAACTGTCACAACTGTGTTTCCGTCCCTACGGTTCAACAGTGTCTCTAGAAAGTGGGAGCTCCCGGTTAAACAGACATTCATCGTTTCTTTACTCACCCACCAGACGATGGCGTAAAAGAAAAGCAAGAACTTGAGGAAAACGTAGGAGAATCTGTGACAGTATCTGATTTCGTCTTGGTTGGACATCGTGTTAGTATCTGACTGTTGAGGACAGTTCGATTTACCCCCTGGCAGATCCTAGCGCGGCTGTTGCTGCTGTTGCTGCTTCCAGCGCACTTCCGCGTTGTGACGTCACCACACCTGTAAACAGCGATAGATGATGATAGGTGATAACAATTTTTTTATTTTCAGTGTGGTGAGAGTCTGAAAAAAAAATTCCAAATGTAACTCATACAGTAAAAACTTATTAAATAAAAAATGTAGTTAACTAAAAAAAGGTTGTATTTGATATATAACAAATATTTATATAAAAATATAAATATTTGATATTTAGAGAAATATAAAATACATAAATATATGTATGTATATTCATTTATATATATTATTAAAAATATATAAATAAATTATATATATATATATACAATAGGCATAGAGAAGATGAGAAAGAGTGATAAAAAATATATTTTTTAAATCAGTAAAGAAAACAGGATAAAATGCCATGATGGTGTTAGATGTTAAAGCCATATTCAATAAATAAAATAAATCTGAACTTTAGAAACACAAAATGTGAGAAATGGTTTATTTATAGCTCTGATGTCAGTAGGAAGCTTGTTCCACAGTCTGGGAACGCTGACAGAAAAGGCCCGATCCGCCCTCTGTTTATATTTGGTTCTAGGTGCCTCCAGAAATAGTTTGACCTATGTGTTTTGATGTGACTAAGTGGAATAATCAGACATGTTGAATATGATGAGACCTGGACATTCAGGGATTTACACACCAGAGAGCAGGAGAATTTCAGTTCTAGTCTGTTCTGGAATTTCAACCAACATCCTCTGATAACAAGCCTAGATTAACGATAATAACACAGAGGGTTTTTTTCCATTCAAAAACATCAACTATCACTCAGGCACCAATAAAGACTCCAAGCAGTGCAAGGTCAATTGCAATCATTCCGACGCCACATGTCACAACAACAACAACAAAGGTGCATTCCTGTCTAATTATTCATGTCCTTTCTATGCCTCTCATGTTGTTTCTTGGCACTGGTTTCTTTTCCTCTATGGATTAAAGCAGAACAACAAGGGGAAGTGAAGAGACCGGAGAACTGTTGCAGCGCAGCATCACAGATGAACACTGAGTTCAACTCCCAAACAACAGTGGAAACATGTTAAGACAATTTATGATCCTTCCTGTTAGCGTACCTATTCTCCTTGCTGCTAATGTCTCACCAGCTCAGCGGTACGTTTCGCTTTTAAGCATTAAGTGCTTTTGTGAAACAAAAACTATTTTCCCGCAGTGTGAGTAAATAACAAGATATCTATTTTATTGTGTATTAGAGCAGGGATTCCAAAAGAAATTGTGGTATGCAAGCTGCCACTAAGAGGTGTACGAGAGTCAATTATCAATTATGTCGCCTTAAATTCAAAATCAAAAGTTGACATTTTAAGTAACAAATAATAAATAAATGCAGTCTATATATAAATAAATATGTGTGTGTGAGTTGTCATTTATGCATGATTCAACGTGGATTTTTTTTTTATTTAATACATTTTTTTTTTTTTTTATGGTGTGGGGAATTGGGGGTGCGTCACCCCAGTTGGAAGATAGAGGGCGTATGCGGCCAAAAACGAGTGAATGGCTTCTGGAGTTATTAGGTATTCAGTGCACTCAGTGTCACTCGGCCCATCCCTTAAAATGCGTTCTATGATCTCTCCATAAATCCATCCATTCAGTCCTCCATCTGCTTATCTCTGAAGTACTCAACCTCTGCTATTCTAATTTCTAATCCTGTCCGTCCTCACCTCCACCTAATCCGTCTCAGGGCCGTGAGGAGGTGAGGGCAAATCCCAGCAGTTGGCGAGCCACAGTGAACCACATCTGGAGACCGACAACTGTCCACCTTCAAATGTTCACCTGTGGTCAAGGAACATCTTCATTGAGAAAATTTCACATCCAGTTGCCTAACAGAACTCTACAAGATTAAAGAATCATTACATTTTCAAAATAAAACATCTTTCAAACTCTATTGTTTGTATCTGTGTCTGATGACCTATTATTTAAAATATTGCCAGGTTTATCTTTAAATAAAGCAAGTAAATGGATATGACTGGATTTTCTTTGAATGAAGTAAATTAGTAAAAATTAAATCTTTCACTGTGTCCCGGTACCAAATGACCTATGGATTGGTACTGGTCCGCGGACCGGGGGTTGGGGACCCCTGATCTATGCGGTCTTCTATTTACAACCGGCCCTATAAGGGAAACCGTATTGCTGATGTGGCCCCTGGTGAAAATGAGTTTGACACCCCTGCCTTACAGCAAGAAAGTTACCTAGATAGCTACACTGACTTTAGGTGTGACTGTGGGTGTGAACAATTGTTTGTCTCTTGTTGTGTGGCTCTGTGATGGACTGGACAACATGTACAGGCTGTACATTAAGTGAACACATTTATGTTCAAGGTTGGCCATGACCCCCATGATTGGTGAGTGAATGGATGTTCAGGCAGACAATCACTGTTTTGTTACAGTAATGTTTTTCATATGGACTTTTTCTTATTGCCTCACATACAACGAAAAACCTTGGGATGTAAACCAAAGAAAACATTCAAGCAATAGGAACAAAGGGACAGTGGTGGCTTAGTGGACTTGGGTCCAGAAGGCTTCAGGTTCAAGTCTATCAGCTGCCAAGTTACCACTGAGGTACTCTGAGCAAGGCACTGCTCCCCGGGCAGCTTAAAGCTGCCCCCTGCTGTCTTTGGTGATGGGTTGAAAGCAGAGGTCACATTTGGTTATGTGCGCAGTGGTGAGCTGTGTCACAATGACAAGTAGTTCATTTTCTTCTCTCTACTTTCTCTTTAAAAAAAAAAGAATTAATATATATATTATATATATAATAAATAATAATATATAACACATATTATATTTCATTATCATTCATTATTATTGTTGTTGTTGTTATTATAACCAAGTATCAACAAAGATGAATAGGCACTTCAACTTCTAAAACACTAAGATGTTTGTTGAAGTTGTTTTGTCAAAGTTGAAGCTCAGAATTAGACCTTGTCTGCAGACACCCATTGAACATTTAATGAAGCTTGACAAGTGGCAATTATTCTGATGAGGCATTTCTTAAGTTGGAGACCTCGACAGTAGAACAAAACAAAAAAAAAAGACATTCAAATCAAGCACAGCATCTGTGACATGGATCCTGTCCTTCAGTTCAACTTCATCAACTGTTTTGCCTGAAAAAGCCTGAAAACAAAATCTATGAAAACAAACAACAAAATTGAGTCCACAATGTTCTACCATTTAAAAGAGACTAAATAAATACTGCTTCAAAATACGACAGGAACGTTAAGCTGGATGATGGCCCTTTTCAACAGAAAATGTCACGACTAAACTTTACAAGACTTAAAGTTGTGTTTTATTTTATTCCGCATTAAAAAAACAAATTGTTAAGAGCTCTAAAATAGTACGTTCCTCAACACGTCGTCCCTGATTCACCCAGGAAACTGCACTTGTTCCAGCTTGTTTGAAAAAAATAAAATAATAACACCCAACTCCTTCAAACTCTTAGAACCTCTGGAGTTTCAATTGTATTTTTTTTCTTCTATAAAAGTGTTTCAGGAAATCAATTTAGCTCACAGCATCAACCTGACATCAACGTTCGATCAAACCTTCACAAGTAAAAGGAAACAGGAAAAGACACCTTCGGGGGTCATGTGACATCAGCTGTACCTTAGTGTTGATGCTGAACCTCAGCCTATAGAAGCTCAATTCCTATGTCATGACTTTCATCTCTGGCTTTAAAGATCAAACTAAAGCGGCAGCTGTCTCTCTCTCTCTGTCTCTCTCTCTCATCTCTTGGTCTAATCAGATCAAATGCCCAAAGGGACCACGGGGCTCAAAATGATGTTCCTTTTATGAAAGTTTTCACTTGAATATTACAACTAGTAATCCAATCGTACCTCTGGGGAAATATCCAATTTTTTGGGGTGTTTTTACAGCAGTTACCACCAGTAATGACGCATGACTGCCTTTTTTTCCCTCTCTTTTGTTTCCCCATGTCCCTGAAGTGCTCCATGTTTAGACTCTTTCAGTCAGAGTCAGACCTCAGTGGTCTGTTTAGTGTATGCTTCGGGGGGTTTTTTGATAGGAAAAAAAAAAAGAATCGGATAAAGTTCTATCACCTGGGACAGCACTGTCTGAGGGATTGTCATGGCAACAGGCGTTGAGCAAACAGTCACAAGATGAACGGCTTCACACGAGAGAACATCTGACAATTTCTCTGGAGCCATTGAACGTTCTCAGTTACAACTTTTCAACAGCGTCACATCTCAGGCTCAGTCATTTCAATCTAACAATTAAACAACTTTGAGAATGACTTCAGTTGAAGAAGAACAACGAGACAGATGGACAGGTGAAGATGTGAAGAAGAAGGAGCGTAGAGTTTTGGTGTGTAATGACGATGTGTAGAACACAGAGAACGTGAAAAGTAGAAAATACTGAGTAAAGTCTATCGATCCTCAGAGGGCAGTTTGTTCCAGCCTATACCAGTTATGATAAGAATCTCCACTGGTGTGAGTCATTCACAGGTCAACTCACAAGAGTTCGGAAAAAAACAAGGTTTAAGATAAAAATCAATAAAGCGAAAAAAAACACGACATAACCAGAAAAAAAGAATTTGTCTATGAAAAAATAACACAAGGCATTTTAAATCACAACCTTTGAAAAGACACAGAGCCACCGAATCATTCATTCAGAGCATGAGATCAACCGTTCACACTCATATTCACACCTACTTTGAACATTCAAGCTAGGCTACATGTCTTGGAAGAAAGTGGAGAAAACCCATGAACACACTGACAACTCCGTATCACAAATCAAAGAGAAAATGGAATGGTATTCATAAACATGCAAAAAAAAGGAGAGAACAAAAAACATAGTGCATGGGGATGTAAAAGTTGTTTTGCAATTTTTATCAACATTTAATTTCTGCTGAACTAGCTTTAAATAAAACATCCCGAAATACAATCACATTTTTGTAAATCTAATTTAACTGTACACTGGTGAGATTTCCATTTTCATTAGAGTGTATTATAATTAAAGTGAATTAAAGTATTAAAGTAGATTGCGATTTACCAGTAAATCGCAATCTGGGTGTGCTAGTCGATCATGTACAATTAAAAAACAGTACAAATATAATTCTGGTGTAAGAATGGCGTGCCATAGACCTACGTGTATTTAATCAGTACCCAAACATAAACATGTACATATAAAGTATATTCAGTTTAAATGAGTAAATGTACGATATATTTAAGGATGTGTGGGCACTGCAGGTCACTGCAATATTCGGTATAATAATATAAAACATCCAAAGAACTAGTTCTGTGGACCGCGTGACTGAAATGTCAACGATGACAGAAACAGTTCCAGTGACGCCTCACGCTCTGATTTCATATCTGAGGAGTCGGTTTGTCGGTAAATCACGTACAGCTCACATCACCGACACCGTGGTATCGAGTTGACTCACATGTTTGTTTGTTTGTTTGATTATTTGTTTAGTTTGTTTTTAGTTTTTTGTTGTTTGTTTGTTTGTTTGTTTCAGAATATCATCTAACCCGGCACTTTCTCGCCATTTTGCGAATGAAGTTGGCGCACATCCACAGACGCGCTCCTGCACGCGCGCATATACGTTTCAGCAGCCAGTGCAGTGAGGGGGGGGGGGGGGGGGGGGGGGGGAGAGAGAGAGAGAGAGAAAGAGAGAGAAACTCCAGCAAGTTGCACATTCTAGGAGAGAAAGTGAGAGTGTTGGTGTGGACGCCTGATAGAGGAGGGTGAGGAGAACAGACATGTACCCAGAGGATGACCTGGATGGATGTCCGTGACACACACGGAGAGTCTTCGGCCACTGGACGCATGGATTGGACACTTTGGTGTTAAATTTGACCACGATACGAGTGAATAAGGTAACTGTTAATTTATCAACCGCGTTTTATGTTATTTTCGGATGAGATTATAATCTGCAAATGACTGGATCACATAGATTGATCCAGGGGCTGTTGCGCATTTACCGCAGCCTGATGACTGTGCGTGCGTCTCAGCGGACGTCTGGATGGATGTCACTGTCATTGTTCACTGGATCGAGTGATGTTGGTTTTGTTTCTGATGTTTGTCTTATTTGGTCACAGTTTATTTTCACACTTCTTTTCGGAAATGTTGTCGGGGGAAAATGTAACTTTTTCACATTCTGTAGCGAGACAAATTATAGAGGTGGGGAAAAAACAAACAAATATGTAAATGAATTTAAAACATGATTAATGTCACTACAATGTCAGAAATAATCATGTTTAGGCTAAAAATGCACAGCTTTAGATGTGTTTAAACATGTTGTTTGACTCATAAAATACGATTTAAATGTCTCACTTGTATAATATTCGAAATAGGAATTCAAGTGAAATATATATGTGTTTTTATTCAGATTATTTTTTTCGGCTCTTTACGCATGACGCACGGAGGACACCGAAAGTAACGCCAAGTGTCCACCACCAGGTGAATACAGAGGACACTATGGACACCGAGAGTTTCATCCAGCAGATTGACCAGGACACGAAGTCCACTTCACTGCCCATATCAGTGACCACTGTCTGGTTGGACGGGAATGACACCACCGGGAACCAGTTCCAGCAGCCAAGCTGGCAGGTGGGAAAATCCACCGACCTGAGAAATAGAGCTAGTTACAGTCGGAGTGTGGAACTGTTCCTTCACACTGAGAGGAGGATGAAGGTGTGAGGAAGGAGAGGAGAGGATGAAACCGTGGATCTTTGTGTGACACGTTCTATCTATCTGTCACCAACAGGGGGCAGTCGTATATTTACTGACTGTACAGATTTAAGCACAGTTGGAGGAGAAATAATGAACAGGAGGATATCATTTGCGCCGAAGCAGTGGTTCTCAAGCCATGGCACATGTACTGCTAATAGTACTTGGGCTCCCTCTAATGGTACACAGGGGGATTCCCATTAGTTTGGCCTCCTCTGTGACTTTAGACTTGAATTATGAAGTACCTGCTGTAGTGATACTCAAATATAATCTTGTATTAGGAATACAGGAACATCTCTGTATACTGTGCTCGTAGTACTAGGAGAGACAAATATTTTCAGTAGCGAGGGTTGAGAACCACTACAGTGTTTTTTGTGAGCTGATGTTTATTTTCTTACACCATCTGATCTCATCTTCTCAGATTAATATGTTGTATTCCTTTATTTTATTCATTACATTTCCTCCCCTCCTCACTCCTCCTTCCCTCTCCATTTTCTCCCTCCTCTTCCCTGCTCCTCTCCATTTTCTCCCTCCTCTTCCCTTCTCTCCTCACCTGTAATCTCCTCTTCTCTCCTCTCCTCTCCATCCCTCTCCCTTCCTAACCTCACCTTTCTCTCTCTCCCTCAGGTGGCGTTGTGGGCCATAGCCTACTCCCTTATCATCCTGGTGTCCATCACTGGGAACGTCACAGTAATCTGGATTATTCTGGCTCACAGACGGATGAGAACTGTCACCAACTACTTCATCGTCAACCTGGCCTTCTCTGACGTTTCCATGGCAACCTTCAACACCCTCTTCAACTTCGTCTACGCCCTCCACAATGACTGGTACTTTGGACTGGGATACTGCAGGTTCCAGAACTTCTTTCCCATCACAGCAATGTTTTCATCCATCTACTCCATGGCTGCCATCGCAGTGGACAGGTGAGAAATCAGCCATTTTCCACTCAAACTATTTTTAGGGCACACATCATTTCGCATTGCGTTATTGGGTTTTAATTATAAGAGGAAAATCCTACAACGATTCTTACAGATATAACATAATTATGCTGATATTGGGCCAATGATAATGGTTGGCCGTCATCTATATAATATAATATAATATAATATAATATAATATAATATAATATAATATAATATAATATAATATAATATAATATAATATAATATAATATAATATAAATTTATAATAAAAGAAAAGAAAGACTCTTCTCCCTCATCCCTCTAGATGGAGCTATAAAGTCACTCACTGGGTATGAAATTCATGCTCACTCAACCTATAGGTTAATTCTGTACATGTTAAGTATAGACCAAAATGAACATTGGACTGATTCTAACATCTGAAGTGGCATAAACATTAGAGAGTCAACATTTGAGGAACTTTTTGAATGAGTTTCAAGGCACTAATGGAAAGACTGGTCCCTGTAGACCATTTAACAGCTGCTGTTTGCCAAAAATGACAGGGAGAGGATAGATGACCCGTGTCTGGGGGAGGGAACTCAGCAGTACCCAAGGACAGTCGTAGTACTGGCTACATTTACTGCACTTAGGTACTGTATCACTAAATCAGTCGTGGGTCATTGACGTTTCTTCTATTTATGAGACAACAATGGGACAAACGTAATGAGTACCTCTGCAACCTTCTGTTGGTCGGCTAAGAGCTACGCTACAGTTTTGTGGGAAACTGCACCTCTGCAACCTTCTGTTGGTCGGCTACGAGCTACGCTACAGTTTTGTGGAAAAATTTTCCTGTTGTTCACCATGGACATGGAATCATCTTCAAAAAGATCTCAAATTAGAAACATTGTCAAGAACATGAATTTTGTTTTTCGTTGTTTGGGATGGCAGATGCCTGTCTCTCGTTCAAAAAGACCTTGAATGACCTTGAATTTAAATTGGATCAGTGACAGAGGGGTATGCATTTGTAAAATGAAAGATGAAAGAGTAGAAATGGAGACAGTGAACAGTGAAGCAAAAACTTTTTTTGCTTCAAAGGGAGTTTATGAGGTGGAAGTAAAATCAACTGTTAAGAGCACAGAGAGTGAAAGAGGTTTGTTTAGATGGTGTACCTGTGGCGATGCAGAGAGCTGTAGGACAGAAGGAAATGCACTTAATGGCACTCGGTGTGGTGGAGGTCTGCAGTGTAGGAGGAAGTCTGGTGATGGAGAAAAAGTACAGTGGTAAGACGAGAACTCCGACCGTGAGCAAAATTAGAGCATTTTCCCTGTAATTTACTTCACTATAGAAAAAATAGGAAATGTCAGAATGAGCTGCAGTCTGAGATAATAAGGCAGTCAGCCCTGGAGACATCAGGAGTGAAGGCATGTAGAAAGAGCACATATGTGAATCATAGTGACAGAAGTGTAATTTTGACAAGAAAGGGCTGTGATGTGAAGTTTTAAAACTGTTGTTTAGCTTCCAAAAAAAAAGGAAAATTAACAAAAAAAGGAAAAGAACAGGGAAGAGTGGAAAAGGCCAAAGTTCAAGAAAAGTGTAAATCACAAAAAAAAAAAGAGTAGGGAAGGAAAGACAGGTGTGATGTATGATTTGGACACAACAACAGGCTGAGGCAGCATTGGCAGGATTTCAAACAATAATACAGAAGAGCCCATGGCTGGGTGGTTAATGGTTTGAATCCTGTGCTGGCAGCGGTGTGTTGAGCAGGCAACAAAAATCATGTCATGAGCTACAGTGCTGCCATCTAGTGTCTTTGCTTTAATATACAGCTTCTTTTCCCCAAAACTATTTTTAGGGCACACATTATTTTAATAATCTTAGGAAAAACAGATAACAATTCTTACAGATATTATATAATATGCTAATGTCTGGCTACTACTGATCCCTGATTAAATATCTTAATCAGTGATCGTTACTATAATGACTAGGGATGTCTGATAATAATCATCATTAATCATCACTAATTAAGATGATTATTTTATTATTAGAGAGACAAGGTCAAGATGGTTTGGATCAAATGGACAACTGATTTGGGAAAACCCATCAGTTACCACTAGGGGTCCAAACCAGGGTTTTTCTTGCAGCATGGCAACACCAATAACCACATATTGTGTTACCATGCGTCTCAGTAAAGAGACAAATCTAAGTTAAGAAAAAGGGCTAGAAATTCAGCTGCATACTTGTTGAGCATAATTTAACAGTCTTCATGACATGCTCTGAACATGTATAGTCTGATTAGGGGATGATTTGTAGTCAAATGCATCAGACTGCAGACCGAATGTTGATTGGCTGTCAAATTTTATACTCGAATAAATGTGAAACTGTTCAATTCTGACCATTAAACAAAATGATGAATGGAAAAATTACAGTCTTTTTGACGAAGTACAAGTACGGTAAAGAACACGGTTGCATTCAGTGCTACAGCCACAGCAGGTACGTATGAAATTGTGCACGTACTTAGGTTTTATTTCCTGTCTCTTAATGGCTCGAGGACAGGTTTAGAGACTAATGAGCTACCTGCTGGAAACAAACAAGGTGTGAAATTCACTTAGGTGATACTGTCATTTCCTTCTCATTAGTTTTCAATTTGGCGAATCATCAGCCAATGGGACCTGACACGGGACGTTTAATCTGGATCGTCAGCCACAGTGGCAAACAGAAGCAGAATTAATCAGACAAAACACTGACACTAAGAAAAAATGATGGATTTACCATTCACAACAACAACACAGCAATATGGTCAGCTCTAAATTTGGCTAGGATAACAAAGAGTTAGCACATTAATACCTTATCAAGCACAATGACTTTTTTTAATAAAAAAGAATAACAAAAAAAACTTTGAGAGTCTACGAAATAGCTTAAAACTGATTTTGATTTTTGCAAACTTTTTAAATTAATGCTGCACTGGGTTTCATTTAAAAGACCACTCCTCTCTTAGTCATTAGCAGACTAACATACTCACTGAATTAAAACGTTTCCTGTATCATTAATGTAATGATTAAAAAAGAAGATTTGCAGTGGGGAAAAAAGTGAATGCTGATCCTCATCTCTGATTCAAATGAATCGTTTAAAAAACCATGCCCTTCGTCATTTTGCTTCAGTGAAATTGACAGAAATATATTGTTGCTAAGGAAACTTCTTAATAATTGTAGGTCACCATCTGCATTATTCAAATGCATTAACATCATTTAACATTTTAAATATTTTTCTGCCTGCTTCACTCTCAGATTATGAACCACAGATGTAGCCATGACCTTTCTGCATCAATGGAATTTAGCAGCAGGTGAAGGAATTAAAAAGAGCTTTACCAGATTGTTACCTATTTATACTTAGTGTCAAACAAGTCAAAATCAGTCAATCAGTCATTGCACATACACGTAGTGGGCGCGTGCTCACTCACTACAACACTGCTGGGATCCACCAATGAAAATGACAAAACATTAGAGCCGGGTCCACAGCTTGTTTACCGCACCACTCTAACATACTTCTCTGCCGCTCCTGACATCCTTCTCTCTCTGTCTCAGGTATATGGCCATCATTCATCCCCTAAAGCCCCGCCTCTCCTCCACCTCTACAAAAGTTGTGATCGCCCTGATCTGGATCGTGGCCATTTTACTGGCTTTCCCTCAGTGCTACTACAGTGAGACGGCATATTATTACCCGAGAACTGTGTGCATGGTCAACTGGCCTGATGATTTTGGAGGAAAACACCAACTGAGGTACAAAATCATTGCAGCCATTTTTTATGTAATATAGTCAAATTAAACAAGGAAAAGTAAAAGAAAGAAAGAAAGAAAGCAGAGATATTGATAAAGATAACTAAATTAATCCAAAAAGATTGATAGCTGCAAAAGGGGGGAAAAAAAATCTGAAACCAAAGGGTAACCTTGGTATATTTTACGTAAAAAAAAAAACAAGTTTATCATAAAGGAGATTTTCAATCTTAAAGACTCTTCTGAAAAAAAAGCAAAAACAATTATGATTTCATGTAAAATGACCTAAAAGTATTCACGTCTTTAAATAAAAAATACCTACAACTTAAAATACATTTCAAACAAGTTAATGTCATTTCCTTGTCATTTCCTTTTCCTCTCCCTTTCCGTCCTTTAGCTACCAGTTTGCATTGATTTTGCTGATCTACTTGCTTCCCCTGCTGGTCATGCTGGTGACCTACAGCATAGTCGGCCAGTCACTGTGGGGAGGACACATCCCTGGAGAGGCATCCGACCATTATCACAGTCAGATAACGGCCAAACGAAAGGTCAGGCTTCTATTTTCCCACCGTGGTGAACTTTAGCTCCGCTCATTAAATATGTCAGTGTTTTGATTACGACGTCGCTCTGACTGTTATCAACAGAGTATTTAAAATATTAGGGCTGACATTGATTCAGATTTAGTTGGTTGGAGTTATCCTGGTTTGTCTGTCATTTCCCACAGGTGGTGAAGATGATGGTTGTGGTGGTGGTGACCTTCGCCCTCTGCTGGCTGCCGTACCACATATACTTCATACTGGGCTCATTTAACAGAGACATTTATAAACAGCATTACATCCAACAGGTGGGAAGTTGCCTCTCCATTTGAACAATTCCCTAAAACAATTTTTAGGGCACACATCATTTAGCAAATCATTTTGCATTATTGGGCTTGCATTAACGGAGGAAAAACCAATAATGATTCTTAGAGACATTACATAATATGCTAATATAAGTCATCGGGTATTATCGGACATCCCTAATTAGAACGTATGCTCACCACCACCAGACATCTCCTAATTAGCTCTCCTGTTTCCTCGTCTTTCGTTAGGTGTACCTGTCCATATTCTGGCTGGCCATGAGCTCAACCATGTACAACCCCATCATCTACTGTTGTCTGAATCAAAGGTACAAACTAAAAAAGAAATAAACAAACATTCTCACTTGTCAAAATAATGATAACACCTATTGTCCCTTTCTTTTTTGCAGGTTTCGTGCCGGTTTCCGTCAAGCTTTCTCCTGCTGTCCCTTTGTCAAAGTGTCAGAAGAGGACAAAATGGAACTGCAGCACACACACACCTTCAGAGTCACCATGACACGCAGCCACCGCAGCGACACCCCGGGCATTCACACCTCTATCAAAACAAAGAACACCTTTGACACCAACGTCGCTGTCAAGAAAGAATCAACATCCGCACAACAGGAGTTAAAATCACCTGTCACTAAACTGATGGAGTTGAACGTCTAAAAAAAAAACAAAAACAAACAAACAACAATGTCCTGGTGTGGACACCTACACTGAGAGGGAAACACGTTTTTTTTTTATAGAAGAATGCTGAGATTGTCGAACAATTTAAAACAGCTCTGCTGTAAGGTCACAGGGTACTGTCAAAAGAAAAGTCCACCACATTCAGTCAAACACCACAGTTTCCTACCTTTCTATTGCACGTGAATGCAGCATGAATGTTAGCATTCATTTGCAGTAAGGACCCTCCAGGGTCATACCTTTGTTTCTAACATACAGTCCACAGTTTAGTACAAATCTCTCCAGTGACCCGTGACATTAAGATGCTCACGTGTTACACTGCACATGTAATGATATTTTGAGCATGTCCACAGACACAACACTGAGTCCCAATGGTTACAAAATGTTTTACTTAAGCTGTGCTACGGATTAAAAATAACCAGGATGTGTATTAAAAAACGAGTCACGGTTGGAGGAAATGTTTTACCTGTTTACTCACTCTTGGTACTCATTGGCTCTCCAACTTATAGTATTTAAGTCAGTACATGAACACACGCAGCCTTTCTGTCATTTACGATAATTAAATGGACAACGTGTTTAGAGTTTGGGACTGTGTACCCCAAAGCATGAAAAGGAGCAGTACCACTGGAAACCGTGGGGGCGGTGTTGAACCGTATTGCTCAGTTCGTCCGTAAAAGGAACAACAAAAAGACAACAAAATAACAACAAATGTCAACCCAGGGAGAGGAATTACCCCTCCACATGCTGAGAAGTATCTAAAGACCACCACTCTCTGCGCTGCCTCTGTTTGGACTCCTTTCTGAGCAGGAGCGTGATCACGAACTACCCCACCGTCGCCATGTTTGTTATTGTTTGAGAAACTGATGTTGACCGGGCAATGAACTTTGATAATGAAGGCTGCCATCTAGTGGGTCTATCGCTTAACGACCATGCCAAACATGACATGACGAGAGTCATCGAGATATGTAGGCTAACCCACACATGTATTGTAAAGAGTTAGTAGAGATACCAAGTAATAGAAGTTAAAAAGACCCCCCTCCCAAAAAGGTCACATTTCACACTGTGTTTGTATTTGCTGCTAGAGTGGATACGTGTGTAAATAATAGTATTTACCGAATACTAGAGTGGGTTGAACTGTTGACTGGCATCAACCCCTTGCCTTAACAGTGTTCATCTTTGTTCCTGTTTTAGACCTTGCTTATCTGTTTTTATTTATTTTTATTATTTATACACACATAGCACTGATATTGAAATAAATTTTCCGGTTACGAGGTGATGGAATGAAGTTCATCTTGATGGCCAGTGTGTACTGACAAAATGGCTGCTCATCATTACCCAGCTGGTGTGTAATGAGCAGCTAGGAGCTAACACTGGTTGGGAGTTTTCCGCCCAGAAGAACAGACAACATTGTTATGTTTACGTTTTAAAAATTAAACCTAAGAGAAAACAAAATTAAAAATGCAGAGGACATATATTTATTATATTTTTTTTTAATGTATTTTTTCCTGCCCTGACTTTTCTAGTTATCGATTCTCAAATCCTTAAAAAGGAAAATCACATTTAAAAAATTAACTACAGCATTTCTTTGAAATAGAGGGACACCAAATACAAGCTGCACCCTCACGGTGTTGTTTTTTTTTAAATATTATATTATACGTATATTTTTTGGCGAGTGGCAAGACGTGATAAACTGAGGAACTTACTTTGAAAAACAGGTGCTCCTTTACTAGGAAATATATGGCTTGACGTTTCCATTGACCATATGCAGATTCATACTGTCTGCTCTGCACACACAACTGTTCTCTGATGGGGTCTAAGCTGCAGCTTGACAGTGATTTCGAAGCACTTCTAAAATGCCCATTCGCACTGATACACTGTACAGTTCATATAATGTGATTTCACTCATGCTAACTGTGTTTTGTTTTTTGTTTTTGTACGTGTATATTTGTGTCAGTGTAAATTAATGGAGTTAAAATAGACAAAACTCTGCGGTTATTGAACCGACTCTGATGTGACATGTGATATTCAAATTGTTCAAACTGTACATACATATGTGTGTTTAATTAAGTGTAAATGTGCCTGAAATGCAGCTGCAGTGATTGTTTCGTGACTACCATCGTCTGTCATATTCAATGTCTCGTTGTTTCTGCAGGGACTTCTCAGGTGTGAGGGGTTTCGGTTTCATCACTTGTTTTATTGAGGAAGAAACAGCAGTGAGCTTCTGTACAGTTTAGTCTTCGCTTTTAAACAGTGTTGTTACATGAAAACTGTGCGTTTCCAGTGTTGTTAAAATCCGTTAGAAAAAGGATAAAAGATACGCTGCTTTATCAACGTCTTACAGTGTGGTGCAGTCTATATTGTACGCCGCCTGTAAAGGGACACGGGGGGGAACCTGTACGGTGAGCACCAGAAACAGTTACTTATTTATTTTCGTACGGTGAGCACCAGAAACAGTTACTTTACTTTTTTTACTTTACTTACTTTACTTTACTTACGTTACTTTATTTTTCCCCAATGTCCCTTTACGGGCTCCTTATATTGAAACCTTGTACAGTTTCAGCTGTATTTGTTGAGATTGAAAATGCAATGAGGAATAAATGTCACAGTTGGATTACAGTTTTTTTTTTTCTCGATGCATTTTTTCTCATACAAACGTGTTTAAAATTATTTATCATTTACTTTTTTTCTTATTGCTTAAAATATTTTGATAACAATTCATCTTTCATTATTTGGTTTTTGTTATTTTTTAATTACTAATTTATTATTATTGATTAACTTAAATTATTTATTTATTTGTGTATTTTTTAATTAGTTTCTTACTTCGTTCTTTTGCCGACAGGGGTCAGGATTGCACTAGCATAGAGGAAAGATCATTAAACCAGCATGACTGCTACAGTGAATATGTCAGGTTTACTGTGTAGCTAAGGTGCAGGTTAAGTAGATGTTATAGAGAGAATCACATACATCACTTGCTTCGACATATTTTAATTATATGCAATACTACATTTGTTCCACTGAGTGTAAGTGAGCCCAACAGTGTCATTAAGATGTGCAAAAACGTGCTGCTTTCCCTGGAAAACATATTATTATTTTCCAGACATGTTGTGCCAGTACAATGGTGCTCGGTAGGGTTTTTTTTATTAAGGAAATAAAATAAAATTTCTTTTATATCCACAATATCTGGTCGCAGTTCTCACAACCATACAGCCCTGGTGAGTCTAGATGGTGTCAACACAGGTGTCACCTGATTGGTCTTCATCCTTTAACCTTAGCAAGCTGCAGCATTTTCTTAGGTTTATATGAAGATTTAAATCAAATGAAGGTGGACTACGATTAAAAAACTAACAAAACTGGATTTCTTTGCTAGGGTCACACTGAAAGATTTTTTTTTTTGCATAAATTCTACTTATAAGTAAAAAAGGATCATGAAACGTTGTGTTTTATTAAAAATGTTTACATGGTTCTCAGTATTATGGTAAAAGTTTAAGAAATGTTTCTAAATTTTAAGGACTATTTTAGTGTAATATTACAATATGAAAAATTAGTTAATGGTAAAAGTAGACTTTCTTTTAGATTGTGCAGCCCAGTTTGACCTATAGAAAATGTGTATATATATGCATATAAATATATATTTGTATATAGTTATGCATAACATATATACTATAAATATACATGTATATATATATATATATATATACATATATATATATATAGCTACATATATATTTAAATTTTCCAATACATATATATTTAGATACAATTTTTAATTTTCTAATAAAAATAATTTAATTAGAATACTAGCCGTTGTTTTAACAGTTGGTTGTTTTTTTTTTTTCAAAATTCTTCCTTGTATATCAATCTTAACATTTAGTTATGTTCAGACCACAAGAGTTAAAATATATATTAAAAGAAAAAAAAAGTTCCACGAGGGGTTGGTTCTTGTTTGTATTCATGAAAGCGTGACATTGCAGTTTCTAGATGAAAACGTTCTCACACAGAGAGAAAGAGACTGTACACACCACGACTCTCACACCTGCCAACACGTCTACGTCAACAACACAGGTCCGGTCACCTGACAAGTGCGTTGTGCTTCAATAAAGCAGTAACATTCGTCAACACAACCCAATATAAAAATAAAATAAATAGCGACTTTAACGAGGAAAAATATTTCCTTATTTTTTTTCCTTGTTACACTTTTATAATTAAACCTACGTACAGTACGTGAGTGAGCTACAGCAGAAACACTTTGGTCTAAAACTGTGTTGTTGTTTTTTCATTTAAAAACCCTGTATTTACTACACACGTCTCGGCCTCACTGCAGTACTTCCGTGTTGAATTGTCTCCGCAGTTGTAGTGCTTGCTGCTGCAACAAACCTTCTCAGAAGTTATCACAGGAATCCTGTAGGTGGCGACAAAGGAGTCTTTCTTCTCCAGCTGTGCACTTTTATCTATACACATTCAACGTCTGACTTTCCCTCATGTTTTGTCACGTGGGACTTTAAGCAGCTCCTGGAACGTGATACATTAACTGAATTGGACTGGACAAAAGACTAAGTATGTGAGTAAAGACTAAGAGACTAAGAGTGAGGGAAGAAGGCCAAGGGGAGAGATCAGTGAGTGGGGGACGTCAGTGGGGGAGCGGGGAGATAGCATCTATTTATTGTTCAGCTCCTGTCTCAGTCTGCAGCCCACAGCTGTGATGAGGGCAGCTCCTTTACCGCTGCCGTCCTCTGACAGCAGGAAGTTCACGTCACACTGAGGAGCCAGTTCCTTCACCGTCTGGTGCATAATCCGGGAAAAGCTAAAAAACAGAAAAAACATTTTTTGGATAATGTTACAAAAAAGGTTTTTAAAAAAAAGTCACAGTTGAAAGAAAAAAATAAAGACGAGCTCATATTCAGATAGATGTGAGGCTTCGTGGGTTTGTGGAATTTGGCAGGGCGTGTGTACTAGAACTGCATCCAGAGAGTGAAGTACCAGCAGGAACTTGTCTGGTACAAGTATTTGAGTGTAAACAAGATGCTGCCTCCTCTGACACAAAGTCAAAATTTGAAAAAAACAAAAAAAACAACAGTTTATTAACTTAGAGCTAGTGTTGTTTGTACCAAACTAATCCACCATAAGGTTAAAAATATACATTTTTATTAAATATTTGATATGTTTAGGTTTTTGCAACAGCTCTCAGGTATTGACAACTGGAGCCTGACTCGACGTGATGAGGAGGCAGCAGGTTATAAAAAATATGTACAACACACACAATTTTTAAATTTATAACTTAAACTGAATTTACTGAAAAAACTTGTCTTTTTTAAAGAAATTGTTAGTGCTTGTGTTATCAAAAACAGTTTAACCAAATGCTAAAATCTGAAAGTTAATAGAAACAGCCGTTTGCTGAAATTATGTAAAAAAAAAGAAACCATTCAGGCAAAATAAGTAAAAATAAGTAGCATAATAGCAGCTACACAAACTTAGCAAAAATATATACCACGTCAAAGAAAGATAATTAAAGGTCAGCCTGAAATACGTCCAAACGTTGGTGATCAGGAAGTTAGCTCAAAGCTAACAGAAGAGCTACATGTCAACTCACTGTGGATGAAGCTTGTACAGAGTTCCATCCACACCAACAATGATCTCCAGATGGTCCTTTCCACGGTTCTTCCGGATTTTATCGGCCACCGCTGCCATTCCTGCCCCGCACAGCTGAGCTGCTCGACGTGACACTGCCTCGCACACCTGAGATTGAGAACCAGTGTCAGAAATACTGCACATGCAGTACTACGGTTTACTGAGCTGGAAGTTAAACTGCTCATTATTATTGGCATAATTAGATTTTTTTAAAGATTTTTGTACCACACATAGATTAATTAATTTAATTTAAAAAAAAAACAAAAGAAATTAAAGAATTCAATTGTTAAATTATTGTTAGTTCATGATATGATAGAGTTTCTCAAACTTTCTCACCTCTTTGACTATGATACTGTCATCACACGTGCTGTCCAGTCCTAGGTGTTGCAGGATGGATCTGACCTGCAGCAGAGCCAGTCTGTCACTGTGGGTGAAGACACACAAATTAAAGACAAAGATGTTGTGGTACGAGTCGTCCTGGTGAGAATTAGATTAGATATTTTTTTTACCTCTCTATCTGGGACAGAAACTTTGTCTCAAAGATGCCTCTGGTCTTCAGGGTCTCAGAGATCTGCCCTCGGAACAGGAATCCTCTCTTGGTCATGTCTATGAGGATGTTTCGCACGATTTCTCCCAGGTACATGCCACTGCACATCTTCTCATACCTGGGTGAACCACATAAGAACCACACATTCTTATTGCTAATTGTTGAAAACAACAGCTACGGTTACAGACTATTAGTATCTACATGAAGCCTGTAGCACTAATATGTGGGAACATTTCAATATAAAATCTAACTGATATTTAAATATTTTATTTTCAAAATAAAATACTTTTTGGCAGGTTATTATGGAACCACTAATAATAAGGAACCGTTTTAAGGAATTGAGAGAATAATCCCCCTCATGGTCTGTCCCTCTGTCAGGGGTCACCACACAGTGATTCGGAAGAGATTTTACACCTGATGCTATTTCCAACGCTGTACTAGTCGATGGGTACTCGGTGGTATCCTACCCAGAGTACTACTGTACTTGAGAGTAAGTACCTTTGTTTGCCTGGATTGAGAGAGAAGTCGTCCACATTGCGATCATATTCCGTCCTGATGTCGTCCAGACATCCGTTGTCTCCGAAGGCTCCCCACTCCATGTTGATGCACATCTGTCCCTTGTCTTCCTCGATCATCTCGATGTTCCTCATGTCCTCCATGTAACAGGCGTTACTGCCAGTGCCTACAGTCACACACAACACAGTGACCTAAGGTGAGGGGTGTGAATCCACATGTCAAACTCAAGGCCCGGGGGCCAAATCCAGCCCACCTGATCATCTTAAGTGGCCCACCGCTCAGCTTAAAATATGTAAACAATCCATCACACATTCAAACATGTACAAGAGTCCCAGTACGGGTCCATAGGTCATTTAGTAACAGGCCGCAGTGCACATAAAAGGTCGGGGACTGCTGCTGCTGAAGTGTATCAAATAGTGCAGGGGTCCCCAAGCTCTGGTCCACGGACCAGTATGGGTCTGAGCACAGAATAACATTAAAGTACAACTAACCAGCGATGAGTCCAATCTGACAGGTAGGTTCTTCGTAGGCGCAGGTCATCATGGTTCCCACGGTGTCGTTGACGACGGCCACCACATCCAGGTCAAACTCCTGAAATCAAAACACGTGGAGATGCATTCCAACTCTTTCTCACAGTTTCATGTTTAACCAAATGATGGCAAATGTTGAACTATTCTACCTCTCTCCTCTTGATGGCTTCTCTCAACAGTCCCACCACATCCTCTCCTTCACAGTCTGTGGCCTTGAAGCCTTTGGTCCACGTCAGTAGGATGCCCTGCACACAGACAGGAGATGATAAAGTCCACTGCAGTGATCTTTGTACTGAGAGATCATAAAAACATCAGTCTGATTGACTGACAGTCTGTTACGCTTCAGAGACATAATGAAGGGCAAACACTTCCCAAAAAACAACACCAATTAAAAAGAAATAGTAAAACAATCCAATGTATGACGTACAACGTAAAGTAAAAACCAAAAGAGAATTAAAAAAAAAAAACATCAACAGATCAACAGAAAGGTGATCACACATACAGCATCCAGGCTGGTCTGTTTGCAGGGGAAGGAGAAGGTGAAGCCCAGAGGCAGACGAGCGTTCTTCATACCCATGTAGTCCAGGAAGTCACTGATGCACTGTACAATGTGATCAAACAGCTGGGGACAAGAGGAGGACAGAAAAGACGAGGTGAGACCAACTTGTGCCAGGATGGAAAAAAAACTGTGCTCTGAGTTGGAATCAAGAAAATCTTCCATTCACTGACACACGTTTGTGAAATATCTGAAAATTTTCATTTAGATGATTTGACTGACACTTTGTTTCCAAAAGTTGAACGTTCGTTCGAACTCTCAGAAGACGGTTCAAATCCCAGGTTAAAAACCCCTGCATCACATTTTTATTGCCTTGAACTAAGGTATGAACACTGATTTGTCCTTGATTAAAAAAAAAAAAAAGACTGTGATGCCAGACTCATACAGTGGTTTGTACAGATAAATAAACGTTACCAGGTCTATATCGGTATGGGTTGATATCGGAATCAGAAATTAAGTGAACAATATCGGCATATCAGATATTGTACACTTGAGGTGTGAATGTGATTGTTAGTGGTTGTTTTGTCTCCATACAGTAGGTGGCGCTGTGATGGACTGGAGAACTGAGCCCAGTTACTGTTGAGAGTGACCACGAAAGATTAAGCAGTTAGAGATGAGTGTGTCCTGACTTTGAACTGATGTCGGCCTTGGACTGGATCCAGTGTCAACACCAGTACACGACTCATTAATGTCTACCCCATATTACTGTCATATTACAACTCCTGATTCGTCTCATTCCAGCTGTGCACTTAAGGAGGAATTATTTAGTCACCTCCTCTCCTGTGCCCTGCATCACTTCCAGAGGAATGGCATAAATCTTGTTGTGCATCTCCACGGATTTCTTCTTGCCCGAACGGATCTTGACCAACAGAACTCTGAAGTTTGTTCCCCCTAAATCCAAGGCCAGGAAATCACCGTACTCTGGAAAAATAAAGATACAGAGAAATGACTGGCTGTCATTGACAAACAGACAGAGACACCACAGCTTACTGTACACCTGTGTGTGGAATGAAGTGTGTCTGGGCTTCACCTGTGCCGTCAGGAGTGCTGCAGACGAAGGTTGGCAACATCTTCATGGTAGCAGATTCCTGAGTGCTCTTTGAAAGGCCTTTTTGCATTTCACTTGTCATTCGATTTTTCACCTGAAGTACAGAAAACACCATGTTGAATTTACAGTTAGCCTGGTAAATTAATGGAAAAAATTACTTTTAACATCTCTTTTGTTTTTACATGTCTTGTCTGTGATTTGAGAATTGGGTTAGCCTGGTAAATTAATGGAAAAAAAATGTCTTGTCTGTGATTGGAGAATTGGTCAAGTTCCTCTAATTCGATTTTATTCGTTAGCATTTCACATAAAAAACACAGAAAAACAAGTGCTACATCTCAAAACAAATTCTATAACAAGAATAAAAAAAAATTCAGCAATACTCTGACATGCTATACAATGATGATACGTTTCTTAAAACTTTCTATCCCTACCTCCAGCAGCTGGTCATTGGTCAATCGAAACTCCGACAGCATTTCTTTGATTTCCTGTGACTGGTTGGCCAGTCTGTAGGCTACAGCCGTGACCATGGCCGCTCCTTTACTGCTGCCGCTCTCTGACAGGAGGAAACGCACGTCAGAGTCCGGGACCAAACGACGGACCGTCTTGTGAAGGCGACGGGCATATCTGGAAAAAAAGTCAGAAGTGTTTTTATTTTAAGCTTTCTTTTGAAACGTGGTTAACTGTCGACCACCAGGTTCCATCAGAATCTGCTTAAATCAAGCAGCATGTTTTTTTGTTAACCCAGATCCAATTTGGAATTATTGCTCTTTGATCGGGTTTGAATCAAATTCATTTGACAAGAAATTAAGACTAAAAAGTAAACTGTATGAATTAACTCTGACTTACTGCGGGTGCATTTTGTAGAGAGAGCCGTCAATGCCTACAGTGGTGCGTAGTCGGGAAACACCTTTGTTTTCCTTCAGTCTCTTCAGAATACCAGCTAGCACAGCAGCTATAAGGTTAGCAGAGCGGAAGGACACAATGGCACACACCTACGGAAAGACAATAAAAACAACTAATGTCACATAAAAGTAGATATTCCTACAACACAACCTGCTTTTTAACAGACAAAAAAATTAAAGTATGCTGTAAGACTTCCTGGTTAAATATGATCAAAATTCCTTTGTTACTCAAATACAAAAAAGTGAAGGGATTTGGCCAGGATTGTTTTCCTATTGTAATCAAAAGGCTTCATTAACATGACTCAGATGTTTGGGAGAAATGACATACGTGCTGCACAGCAATACAGTCCTCATCAGAGGGCTCCACACCCAGTTTGGTTAAAATCTCTTTGGCTTTGCACAGTCCCTCCTTATTCCTAACAGATACACAGCGGGCAACGTTTTAGCATCGGGTTGACATATTTATAAGATGGATTCAAAAATGACCGGAATCACTCACTTTTCAATGGCTGAGATGTGTTTGGTTTCAAACGTCCCTCTGGTCAGAAGCTCCGGGGTGATCCTTCCTTCAAACAGCATTCCCTCTCTGGCCATCTTCACCAGTATGAGACGGACCAGCTCCCCCAGGTACATCCCACTCACCATCTTCTCAAATCTGAGGCAAAGCACGAAGCAGTACATGTCACAACTGTTTTCATTCAGGAACTTTTGTTTCTTCGTGGTCACAGTTTGATAAATGGAACAGGATTTGTACAGTAACATTATCAAATGTTGCCTAACCTTTTGGTATTGGTATATTTGGCTATTTCTTTAGCATCCAGTTTAACAAGATATATTTTCATGCAATTCAACTATCAATTTTTTCATCTGACTTTTCATTTGACATAATGTTTTTTCTGTTCCAGGGCTAAAATCTGCTCACCCTAGCAGGTAAATATACAATTTTTTACACCAAATCCCACTTTTTGACCAAATACAATTTTTTACACCAAATCCCACTTACTTTTTGACCATTTCTATCTTTATTTAATCGGATCAAAGTTCATTCTATATCTTCCTCTGAGCTATTTCTGACTAACTATCTATGGTTTAATTGTTTTCAAGATCTAAAATCACAACATCCTCTGTCCAAAAACACATGGACATTACCTACAGATTTGTGTTTACGCTGCCTTTTTTTGCACCAACTTACAGCTGTTTCCCGGGGTTGAGAGAACCTCTGTCTATTTCTCTGTCGAACTCTGTCCTGATGTCTTCCAGCCGGCCGTCGTCTCCAAATGCTCCCCACTCCGTGTTCACACACATCCTGCCCTCGTCTCCTTCCACCAGGTCAATGTGACGCAGCTCCTCCATGTAGCAGGCGTTGGTGCCTGTGCCTAAAGGACCCGACACAAAAACTGTTCAAGTACAGGCACAATCTGGTTAGAAACAGAAAGATTGTCATTTTTTGGGGGTTTTTTTTACCAATGATGATTCCAACTTCACAGCGTTGGTCGTCAAAACCACAGGTCATCATTGTCCCAACTGTATCATTGACTACAGCCATGATGTCAGCTTCATAAGTCTAAGAAAAATTTAAAAAATTCTGTGTGAAATTCTGCTCAAATTTATTTCGACTAATTCAAAATTTTGCTACAAAAGTTTAGCTTCAAACCAAGTTCTTACCCCTTTTTTCTTGATGGCTTTGTTCAGTAGCTCCACGACGTTCATTCCTTCAACTCCACTAGCCTTGAAGCGCTTTGTCCATGTTATTAGATAGCTCTATAGTTAAACACACAGGGAGAGAAAGAACGTGTCAGTCAGGTAAGTTATGCCAATTGGACCACATTGATTAAAACAGGAAATGTGCTGCACAGATTTGATCGTGTGCTTTCGTTTTTACCTCGTCCAGTTTGGTCTGCTGACAGGGGAAAGAGAAGGTGAACCCTACTGGAAGTTTCTTCTCTTTAATGTCGTGCTTTTCTATGAAGTCACCCAGGCATTCGGCCACATGGTCAAACAGCTGGAACGAAGGCGGACAAAGATTAGGCACAAATTAGCAGGGCCTCGAAGCAAAACGACTTCGTAGAAACATTGTCAATAATTTTGGGTTTTAACGCCCTCTGCTGGTCCTCAGTATTTCTTTATACAATGGCAAAATAAGTGTGAAAAATAGTGGAAATATAACCAAAGAATTTGCATAAAATTTGAAAAGTTATTCCAAAAGGCTAGCTAGCCCAAAACAAGCTACCAGATTAGATATGTGTCACATTCAATTTACCTTAGGTGGTAACTTTGTTTTACACAGTAGTGTAATAATGTTAATATTGCATTACTGTCTGAACCTACTCTGGTTCCAGTTCCGTGGATGATGTCCTCTGGTGTGTTGTAGATTTGACTCTCCATCTGAACGGTTTGTTTCTTCTCATGGCTCACTTTCACACGAAGAATCCTGAAGTTACTGCCGCCCAGGTCCAGAGCGATGAAGTCGCCTTTCTCTATGAAGACAAAAAAGTGACAAAAGTTTTAGTTTGCAGTTTTACCCATCAGTACGCAGTCCTGTACGCTGACAGGCCCAGCTGTGGGAGAGGGCTATTTTCAGATAATCCATTTTAAAACAAGTAAAACGTTTTTATTGGAACTACCTTACTTCACCCAAAACAAAAGTACAACATGCACATTTTGAAATCTCACTACATGCCACCCAGGGAGGACCCATAGCTCCATTTGAGAACCAATTCTCAATTCCATCATTTTTTCTTCCCTTTTCGTTACAGTTACACATTAAAAAACATCAACTGGGTCGGAAAAAAATCTGATCAGAATGTTCGTGGTGTTGCAGCAGCTTAAGTTCCGTAACGCATCTTAGCCAACACTGAAGTGTAGCAATTGAGATCTCATAAGAACCACAAGTCAACTTCCCCGATAAAAAAGGTTAAATCATTATAATTGTAACCTGGCAGGAATTGAAGGCATTTTCATTTGGTGCCAGAACATTCTGTGCAGGTCAAAATGTAGTCACGTTGGTGGGGTTTTTTTTTTTTCATTTAGAACAAACCAGTTGGTGTGTGACTTCTGTAATTCAGTCTGTATGAACACTGAGTCCAGACCTGATTCACACAGACAGACACCGCTTCATCCTGAAGTGTTTCATTTCCAGTGAGTTTCAAGGACAGAGCCATGGCTCTCTGTATGGATTAGTCAGCATGTTGAAGTGGAGACGCCTCCTAACGGACTCCAATGGGTTTCATTTAAAAAACCCTTAATAAAAATGGTTCTGGAAAATCAATCATTGACAAAAAATGTCCAGGTTTCAGTTGTAGGAGAAAAACGGGGCCCAGTGGTGAAAGGATTGGGCTGGTAATCTGAGAGATTACTCAGATTGGTAATCTGAGAATTGTGGCTGCTGCTGGGTATTTTGGTGATATTTTGTGTTGTTTCACAGAGAAAATTCCCCAACAGGATAAATAGGAGTACCAAAAATAAAATATTTTATTTAGATATAAACTGTATCCAAAAAAAACAACTCAAAAACTGAAGGATGTCTTGAAGCAGGAAATGGAATCTCACCTGAGCCATCGGGGATCGATCGCACAAATGTGGGCAGCATCTTCAGTACAGCTGTGGGGTTTGTGTCCCGGCCCAGTCCGTTGGCCAGCTCCATGCGAAACCGCTGTGTGATGTCCAGTAAAGTCTCATCAGAGAAACGCATGGAGTAGAGGTACTTATCAATCTGAAAACAAGCAGATTGGAGGTATTTAAACATCGGTGATGAAGAAGAGCAAGACTTGCTGTAAGATTTTGTCCTAATGCTGAATTCGCTGATGTTTCACCTGAGTTTAACAGCACTGGGCCTGGAACAGTACAACCCTAGCAAAAGTCTGACTCACCATAATATTTATTTTTAAAAATTTAAGAATCATAAAAATACAGAAGTGACTCAACAGCACCAAGATGACTAAAAATATTATTTTATACCAAAAAAGGGTTAAATCCAACAATATTAGGTGTATAGAAAAACTAGTAAAATGATAAATCATGTTTCAGTTAAAGCACTTCCTGCTTGTCTACAACATAAAACTTAACTTTGCAGAAATAAATCATTACTTTATAACATCGATGTCTCAAGGTCAATAAGTGCAGTATTACCAGAAGAAAGGTCATAAAAGCACATGTCATGGTGAACGGCTAAAATCATCAACAGACACACAGTCTGTAAGGTCACAAAGGGCACGGGGAGTTAGTTCATGCTGTATCTTTGCCAAACGTTGGACAGTCCCACTGCCTGTTGCAACACTGTGTTATCATCACCACCAAAGCAAACACCAGTCTGAGACTGAAGACGTACTGTAAGAACCCCCAGGAACAGGATGTTAAACAATTCTGAAGAAACACACTATTGCGTCACAACGTGAGTGCAGTTACGGAATGAAATGTTTTATGATCCAAGTGTGAGTGTGACGAATCAGCAGGTGAGGGATAGTCACAGATTGAAGTGTTGGTCAAACGTCACGTTCACTCTGACCTCCGTTGTCATTGTGAAAGCAGAGCCAAGGTGGACTAACGCTAACGCTTTCAGTTGTCAGTCACACACAGTAACTGAATTAACAGTCGGTTTCCTAATAATGCTGTGTAAACATTTTATTGTTCACGCCTTCGGAACACACACACACACACGTGGTAATGTAAATACATTCCCCATTCAGTGGTTCTAAAATGTGACTTGTGCAATGGGACATTAATATTGTGGTTCAATGTGACATTCACTCAGGAATCCAGAGGCATTCTCCAACTTCCTGTTTGAGTAGCCACACATTCACCGTATTTCCTGTACAGTTGAGCTCCTCTGCCAGCTTTTTGTGAGGTGATCCCATAAAGTATAATTTGACTTAATGTGCTGTAATAAAATAAAAAAATCTTGGCTGAAGTTGAAGGTCAGAGTCACTGCTCCGAGCTACGCTAACTTTATATTTTTACTGAATGTGAACCAATACTTTAACAGACCACAGGAGGGTAAAACACCTCAAAACATTCAACACACACAGAGACTCGTTCTTGTGTTTTGGTCCAAACAACAGTTGTACGTCAACAGTAAAACCCTGCGGCTGACACATGCTGTGTGTTTCGTTAGCCTAAAGTTCAACAGAAACATCAGTTCTAACTGACTTCCTGACGAACACCTGGAGGCTGTACATCAAATGTCTCACCCACAGGAAACACCTACATGTGAAGTAGCAAACTTCGGGAATTAGACGCTCAACTTTTTGTTAAGCAGATCTGTAGCCGTCTTAAAAAGGTCATTGTAGATTACAAATAAGAGAGTTGTTACTTTTAAATATTACAAAATCGTATCTCTCTCAAGGACAAAGTTAAGGTCAAATTATCGTTACGGGAACAAAAACAGAAAACATTTATAATCTGCATCCGACAGATTTATCTAATGATGACATTAACTGTAAATTGTTTTTTTTTTATCTAATGATGACATTAACTGTAAAATAATAATTTTATTAGTTTTTTAATTGAAGTGTACTGACACACAGACACGAGAAGATCAGTGTCCTGGTTTTCAGTTCTATGAAGGTGTAACATTCCCTGCATTCTGTTCAAATGTGTCTGAAGGTTGAAAGCTCATTAACACATGTCCATCGCAGACAGCTGAGCTCACAGCCAGGAAAAACACAGACGTTCCCAGCTTCATAGGACTTAGTCATTTTGGTTAGGTGTAAAACTGCTGCTCAGGGTCGTAAAGAGGTCTGTGTTCCACCATGAGTTGGGTTTACTGCCTTGTCATTTCCAAAGAGCGACTCATTGATGGCTGAACATTTCCAGTCTGCTCTCTAACCAAGCACACTCTTATCTCTCACAACCAGACGCACTTTTACCAAGAAATATTATTGAGTAGCTCCATGTTGACAGCGAATCCACCAAACATCACCTGAGTTTACACTGTGTTTGCTTTGTCTTGTATTTTCCTTTAAATAGGATTTTAATTTTGTATTGATGTAAAAATGTTCCCAATAATTATACTCCCCAATTTGACAGGACTATTGTTACGTCCCCCTACCACAGTCACAGCTTTTGCTTCAAAATTAAACTAACCTTTATTTAAGAGACTGATATTTTAGAGGTACTGTGTTGAAATAAAGGGTCAAGGAACTCCGAAAAGATGATTGCGGCCACTACTATTGTGTGTAAAGGCCTAAAAATAGAACAAATCCAATAGAAAAACTAAAAATAGGACCTCAGTGCAAACAGTCAAAGGTTGATGATTTTGGCTCAGGATCAGGGTCACTGACCAGGACACAGTGGATATGCACAGCCCAGTGAACCTAGAAGAAAAGTCCGGTTTTAAACCATCACAGGAGTAAAACTAGCAAGTGAGGCTATTAATACTTTAACTGACTAAAAATCAGCCTGTTTACCCAGCCGATTCATTTTCTTACAATAATTGTTTTACAACCTGATATCAGGTTGACCCTGACTCAGATGGTAGCTGAAGGCTGCCTCGACCTATCATGAGCTGATAACGGTCACGGCTCCTCACACGAACTACCACCACTACTACTACCACTACTACTACTTATATTACTTCTACTACTTCTATTACCTCTTCTTCTATTATTTTCCTTTTTTAATTTTCTTCCTTCTCTCGTTTTTATATTCTTCACTGATTACTATTCTACTTCTTCTGTTTCTACTTCTCCTCCTCCTTCACCTCCCTCTTTTACACCCACAATCTCTATGTCTTCTATCATTAATATATTTCTAATGATTCCAACATATAACCCTCCCAGTACTGCAGTACTAAAAAAGTAAAGTGGCATCAAACATCGGATTTTTCACAGATGCTGTCAGTCATCTCACAACCTCTCATTCAAATGTCCCGACTGACTGACTACGTCCTCAGTCCACTGAATGGTACTACTTAAATAACAATGTGTCCTCGAGAGGCTGACCAACTGCCACAAAGAAGAGGATTAGGAGCCAACATTGTTCACACCTCTCCACAAAAAGAACCAACAGAAATCCTCTGAAACTGCGGCTGTTGAAGGAGACAGAGCAGCATGGCAGAGTCGTGACTCGACTCTCTGCAGCTGAGATCTGTGCCTGAGCATCACCTGATCGCATTTCATCTCTGCTGCACTGACTTATATTCTTCACATGACGACAAATAACCTTATAGCCGCAGCGATAACTTAGTCATCGTTACAGGAGGTAAATAAACTAATTTTGAGGACTAAACTGACTGGTCATATAAGACACATGCCAGAGGGCCACAGCTGGACCCTGAGCCACGATTTGAACAAAGTCTGACCAATTATAACGTATCTAATGTTTTGAATGATGTTTAATATAAATAAAATGATGTTCCTGCAAAACAGATTCAGAGACCTTCAGAATGTTCCTGCAAAACAGATTCAGAGACCAGGGGTTTCTTTCACACCCCCTCCTCCCTCCCTCTCTCCCTCCTTCACTTGTCCTTCACTGTACCTCCCTCTCTCTCCTCTCTGTTTGAGCTCCTCCCCTTCAACATTGTCCTGTTCCCCTTGTCACTGCTCAAGTTGACACAGCACTGAAACCCGACTCCTTTGTGCATTTGCTGCTGCACTACAGGCTCACCATGTGGAAAAGTACTGCCCTCACCGCTGCCCCCTGCACATCTTATACACACACACACATGGTGTACAGTACACACACAAATCCTGCTTTTTTTCAAAGGTAAAAGACACTATATTTTATGTAAAAGACACAAATGTTTTACGGAGGAAGACGCTTCCCGTCTTCCACCCACGACTTCAACACTCGTGATCTTAAAATCTACCGAGGCTCAGACGAGACAGCCTGCTGTCTATCTACTGAGGAGTCGCCTTTATCTCTGCAGATTCAAAGAAGCTAAGAGCTAATTTTAGCATGAAACAGGTACAGAACGAGAGGCAACGTAGTGGTGCAGTGGAGTCTGTTGGTGGTTCTCTGTCTGTGCTTTTAAACCGGGGGTGAAACTCTACTGTGGATCTGTGTGTGTGTGTGTAAATGTAAACGTGCTGACAGAAGTTAGCATGATGTTTGCTGCTGATACCTGAAGTTAGCATGATGTTTGCTGCTGATACCGTCCTGAACAATAACACACATTTAACATTTTTAACATGCTGCAGCCTGTAACCTGAGCACTGTGTTTAAGTCCTGGAATGACAATAGGTACACACCTGGTAGTGTCTGTGTGTGTGTGTGTGTGGTGAGTTTGTGTGTAAGCTTTCTCCTCCTGACACCTACAGTCACATGGTTCAAAGCTGGCCTATTTTCGGGCCTGAGGGAGAGAAACACACCGGAGAACAGTGGAGGGTGTGTAGTATTACAGTACATCAAGTAATGTGGTACTGAAAAATGTATTTCGATTGAGTTTCTTTTTTTTTTCTGCAAAAGACGCAGCTAGGAATGCAGGGGGAAAAAAGACAAAAAAAAAAAAAGGGATTTGATGCAATCTTCCCTCAGTGATGACATCATCAGCAGGAGACCTTAAAGGGACCCCAGACCATTTGCAGAGTAAGAAGCACATGTTGAGAAACAGTTCTGGAAGTCTTTAAACCTCCTCCTCTACCTATCAAGTGGGTAGAGCTTGCGTTCACATGCAAATGACCACAACTGAGTAACAGGAGCGGTTGTGGTATGACGACTAGTCTGGGTACTTACAGGAAAAGCTCGAGTGACACACGTCACACAACATAGTGAAAGCAGCTACAACTGGTTGAGTAAGTTTAACACTGAACCAGTTGTAGTCCAACATCGGGGGCTGCTTACTGCAGCAGTTATGAAAGACACACATTCATGAAGTTCTCCTCATACCGTTCTTCTCCTCTTTCAACCTTTAAAAAAACTCACTACAAACATACAGGACATCACGTTTCTTCTTAGGAAAATAAATGATAAAATTATTCCAGTGGTGATTTTCCTCTGTCTTTATGGATGATTATCTTAATAAATGTGTTGTGGAACAATTCCAGTGTAATGTGGCCAACAAATACTTAATACTGAAAATACTGCTATTGCAAAGCTAGCAGAGTATTTTGTATTTTTAGTAATATTTGTTTAAGGGGAATTCTGTATCTTTTAAGTAAATAATTTTATGTGATTTTGCTAGAATGTTCTCTCTTTCTAGTTTTTGGTGACCTTAACTAGGTCTGCGGCTCTACTGGGATTTTTTGATTTTGCTTGTTTTTTTTTCAGAAATACCTTATTTGATCTTCAGCTATATCTGTTTTTGTATAACTTAATATTTACAAGATTAGAGTACAACTACTTTAGCTTTTGATTTATCTAGCATTGGTATTTTCCTCTACTTTAGCTTTTGATTTATCTAGCATCAATATGTCTGTGTAATTTCCTTCTTTATTTTTGAGTAATTTTAGACATACATATAAATTTCTATATATGTGTGTGTCTGTGTAATTGTTGTCTGTACTGTATATGTGAATACAGTTTTTTATTTTTTTTTATATCATTTCAAATTTTATGACATTAGATGCCTGGCTATCAAACTGTTAGCCTTCAGCTAAATTTCCAAATATTAATATGGTTCCAAACAAAACCAGCATAAAAGCTGAGTTTCTTTAGATGAATTTATTCAAACCTTTGTGGCTCACGTGTCCTTTATAATTTATAATAATACAATAAAGACATTTATATACATACACTATGTATTTATAATTGTGGGTGTCACAGGAGAAGCAGTCCTCCCCCGGACATCATTACATCACTGGTTCTAGCTGCCCTTGAATAAAGTGAGGACAAAAAAAAAAAAAAAAAGCAAGTGCAGCGAATGACCCCTAAAAATGACTTTCTCACTGAGTCAAGTTCCCTTTCATCAGTCCTTTGCTTTCAGTCTCCTCCCACTCTGGAAATTTACATCACCATCCGCATCATTCTCTCACTGTGCAGTAAGTCACGTCTCTACACAGCATGGCTCTTTCAAAACCTAAAATCTCACCCAGGTCTTGGACTGCTGCTCACCTCACGAAGCATCAACTTTATTACTCACTTCCTCAAAGTGATTTCTACACATTCATTTTACAGTTAGAGGATGCCATCTTAGATCAATTGCGATTAACCTGGTAATCTCCCTCCCCCCCAAAAGAAAGAAAAGGTAAACTCACCTTCTTGACCTGGTCATCCTTGAGTTCAGTGAAGTAATAAGCCAATAGCTGGGCTGCAATCATCCTGCTCTACTTACAATATCCCTCACACACACACACACACATACAGTCTTTACTTCTCTATCTCTCACACACACACCCAAATGACTGGAAAAAACCCAATACTTAAAAAATTGTATCTAAAAAACATATATATGAGACAAATACCGTTACTTCTGAGCTGTACTGTACGGCGTGTTAGGCTGTAGTTAAGAAATAAAATATGAAAAAGTCCCGGCGGTTGGATTAAAATAGAGCAGCTCCTCTACTCCTCCTTGTCTGTGCATGTGAGTGGATTCAGGAAGCATGACAGCAAGTTGAGCTGCAGGAGGAGATTCAAGAGTCACACCGAGGGGCGGGGCCACAGCGGGAGCCCGTGCCTACCTTCTGTGACCTCATTGGTCAGATAAAAGGATGTGGGCGGGAGTCAGTGCCACATCCTCTTCGCTGTCATTGGCTTGGTGTGCTGACGCCCGGTAGACAAACTCAGTGATGGAGGTGAAAGAAGAAGGTGGAGGGGGGGGACGGTTGTTTAATTACTGCTATTGAGGGGAGGAAAGGAGAGAAGGGTATGAGGGCAAGGGGAAGTCAAAGCCTGGGTCTTTACTCACATTACTGTCCAGGAAGTTGTAACGATACAAGAAAATCCAGTCACAGGTGATGAGTCAGAAACTTAGTGACTCATTTTATATGAATTTCAGCTGTAAAAGGAAGGGAGGTTTTTTTTATCTTACTCCCCCACGGTTACACCAAGCACCTCCTCTGGGGTCTTCACTCTTTTACAATGAAATGATCCCATTTATTATGTATAAAATCTATATTTCAGAGGTCAGGGTTAATGTGGTGGCTCAAAAAAAGTATCTTCAAATCAAAGTATCTTCAAATCAAATAATCACGGTTATTTAAAATACTTATTAAAACGTTTTCATTAATAACATGAAGAAACAGCACTGATTTTTTTTAAATAAATGCTAAACAACAGTATATTTAATGTAGCCTAGCATTGCTGATATGTACCCAAGCAAAAGTTAAAAATATAAAATAAATACAATTAAAGGCATTTCATATCAAACAAACAATTCCCCAATATTTTTTCCTGGTTTCTTCTAATTTCACTGCATAATTTGTAAATACTTTCACACACTGAGAGAAAGTTTTGTGTCACCACAGAATAATACATCAATTGGAAAATATTTTTTTAAATATGTTGTTTAAATATTTTATATTAATGTTGTACAGAAATGTTCCTTTTAATGGTTAGAGTCCAGGAGTTAGTTGGAGGTGTAACACAGCCCCTCCTTTTCAAGTTAGACAAGGACCAAAGTAGTCAAACCTGCTGCAACAGCTGAAACTGCTGCTGAGTTCCTCAGGGTATTTGTGGAGAAGCGCTGGACGTCAAAGCTAAACAAATGCAGTAAAAGGATCAGATACTGAATTACTGCAGAGCCTGGAGCTGTCACTCCTCCCTGCACCAAACAGCTGTGTCTAAACAAAGATTTAAATCCTGAGGGCAATTTAAAGTCTTAAAATAAAACAATATAAAATAATAGATAACAATTACAACAGGTTAACTGTGGGAAAAAAAGGACACATTGTTAGTAAATAATAAGAATCACCCACACTCTGCAGACGTTGTCCTTCACAGAGACAAACATCTGTTCACGCTCACATTGACACCACTCTGTGGTCAATAAACCTGAGTACACGGAGAACATGCATGCCCACACAGGGAGGCAGATGCAAATCCATAAAGAATGGCTGGGAATCAAACCAACAAACCGGTGATCTTCTGGTTGAACAGCAAAGTAAATCAACAGTGTATTTACCAAAAAAAAAAAGAGAAGAGAAGGTCCAATACCTGGCTCTTAACTGATGAAGATTTCCCATCATCCCCAGCAGCTGGGCCCCAGCCCCTCTCCTCATGATGATGTATTGATCCATTGATGTCCCTCTGTCTCCTGGGAGGACAGAAGAATGTGACTCCTGTCTTTGCCGTTGGATTCATTTTAACATTAGCCCAGAGTCTCCTCTCTGTCCTGAGTCTTTGAGTCGCTTTGTGTCAAAGCTCTGATTGTTTTATTGCACCAGGAAGACAAAGACACTTCAGAGCCACTTCACTATTCAGGGACATTTGGACAGAGACGCTGGCTCATTATCTGTGATGCGCTTTAGAGATTTCAATTTCAAGACAGAGAACTTTCTGTTTGTTTGGGGTTTTTTTTTTGCAATAAACCATAATATCTGTGATTCAAAGTTTTATTTTTTCTCCCCAAAGGCTGGATGGAAGGCTTTTTTCTGTATATCCAGAACCTCTGACCTGAAGTTGAAGACTCAACAACAGGGGTGTGAAAAAGTCATTTTGTTTCAGGGGCCACATACAGCTTGATTAAATGTCAAATGGGCCAGACCAGGACAGTCATAAAATATTTACCAACAAATAACATGAAGTCCATGTTTTTCTCCTTTATTTTTAAAAATCTTTATATCTAATTTAATTTAATAATAATTTGGCAAAACATCAAGTGTTTGAACATTCAAACTGAACCTACCAGCGGATTGGTTTTGGCCACAGGTTTGATGTACAGTATGTTGAGATGCTATATTTTTTAGCTTGGATAGATTTGATGAAACTTAAACTGCTGCCTGCAAATGACAACAGGTTTATAGGAAGTGGAATTGTTGGATATACAGGGCATGTCATTCTTCCCATGTTACATTACATGACAAAAAAGATGATGTACCTTTGCAAGGCAGACCAACGTATAAAATAATCTCAACTTTTACTTTTAAATGATTTCACTGTTTTGATAGAGCATACTGACGGATAAACCCAGCACACAGGCAATGACCCAGACACGCAGATATTATTCAAGGACAAAGACAGATAGAGACAGACAGACAAAGACAAAGAACAGGGAAAGACAGAACTCTAGAAAAAAAGAAAACAAAAGAAAACAGCAGAGTTAGACCGACAGACGGACAGAGAGGAGAGAGAGAGGAGAGAGAGAGAGACAGGGGATCACAAGAACTCTGAGTCATAGCAGACAATGAACAGAACCATGGTTGTTTTTTTTT